TTTAAGACACAGATGAACCCTAATTCAGTAATAGTAGTAATAGTAGGGAACTTCAATAGCCTACTGTCTCCATTAGACAGGTCAACTGGACAAAGAATAAACAGAGACATCTGAATTGACTGATACCATACATCAATGGACCTAACAGACATCTACCAAATATTCCACCCAAGCACCAAAGAGTACACTTTCTATTCAGCATCCCATGGAACTTTCTCCAAAATTGACCACATTCTGGGACATAAACCATGCCTCAACAAATACAAAAAAAATTGAAATAATACCATGCATTCTATCAGTCCACAATGCAATAAAGCTTAAAACACCAGAAGAAGCCCTAGTAATTACACCAACTCATGGAGATAAACAACACACTCCTGAATGATAAGTGAGTCAAAGGAGAAATTAAGAAAGAAAATTAGGGGCTGGAGAGATGGCTCAGCGGTTAAGAACACTGGTTGTTCTTGCAGAAGACTGGGGTTCGAATCCCAGCACCCACATGCCAGCTAACGACTGTCTGTAACTCCAGTCCCAGGAGATCTGACAGCCTCTTCTGACCTCCGCAGGCATTGCATGACACAGGTGCACTTACCTACATGCAGGCAATACACGCATACACATAAAAAATAAAAATAATAAATAAAAGTTTAAAGAATTATTTCTGGAATTAAATGAAAAGGACAATACAACAAAACAAAACCTCTAGGACACTTTAAAAGCAGTCCTAAGAGGGAAGTTAGCTCTAAGTGTCTACATTAGAAAAATCAGAAAGGGCAAGTCCAGGTATGGTAGCACACACCTTTAATCCCAGCACTCGGGAGGCAGAGGCAGGTGGATCTCTGAGAGTTCAAGGCAAGCCTGATCTACATAGTGAGTTCCAGGCCAGTTGGGGCTACAGGGAGACCCTTTCTCAAAAAGACCGAAAAAAAAAAATCTGAAAGAGCACAAATAAATGACTTAACATCACAACTCAAAACTCTGGGAAGGCAAGAACAAATCACCCCATGTGAAGAAATAACAAAAACCAGAGCAGAAATTAATGAAATAGAAACAGAGAAAGCAATACAAAGAATCAATAGACCCTAATTCTGAAGACAGGACATACTTTGGACACAGGATTTGGAGCAATGGAGCTGGGACTGACCTGGAAGCCACCTCTCCTGAAGGCTAGCTCTGATAGCTTTGGAGGACACTATGTGTGCTGGATAGCTTTAGTGTCAACTTGACACACCTGGGTTGAGGGGACCTCAACTGGGGAATTGCCTCCATTGGACTGGCCTGTGGCCATGTCCGTGGGGCATCTTCTTGATTGTTGAGTGATGTGGGAGGGCCCAGCCCACTGTGGGTAGTGCCACCCCTGGGAAGGTAGGCCTGTATTGCATAAGAAAGCAGGCTGAGCAGGGGCCAGGGGAGCAAGCCAGTAAGCCGTGATTCTCCATGGCCTGTGCTCCAGCTCCTGCCTCCAGGTTCTTACCCTGAGTTCCTACCTTGGGCTCCCTGATGAACTGTGACCTGGGAGATGTAAGCTGAATAAACCCTTTCCTCCCCAAATTGGTACTGGTCAGAGTGTTTTGTCACAGCAATGAGAAACAAACTAGAACACTATGCAAGCTGGTAAGGGAGAACATCAGTCAGTGGTCCAACCCCAACTTCAAGGCCTAAAAACCACAACAATGACCAGCACAGCAAACAACATTGGCGCAATGGTGACACTTTTATCTTTGGGGTAATCAACAGCTACCTAATTGGACTTAAAGCCCACTCAATGGGAAGAAACTCATGTGTGGTGCTTTAAACCTAGCCAAATATACATAGCTGGAGAGGTTATAGGTCTTAGAGAAAACTCCAAGACTGTCACATCTCTAGACAAATGTAATTTCTTATGTGCAAAATATGGATCTTTAAATTTATAGACAAGTATCTCAGTCATCACTCATCAAAGAAACTTCTTTTTCAAGAGACAGAGATAATTACAGAGTTCCACAACTGGTCACACACAGAGATTGTCTGTGACCTGCCCAAATCTAAGTTGCACATCTAGAATGCAGCCTCTACACCTAAATCTCATGGAACATAGAAGAAGGGATGAAGAGAACACTAATGCATCTTTCAACTCTCATCGGTGAAGTTCCCTCATGCAACAGAGGACCAGGAATGCAAAAGGTCACAAATGGCCAAACTGCAGAGATAAGAGTCTGCAGAGTGTGGGTCCTTGGACAGGACTCCTGTATTAAAATTCACCCTCCTCAGGGCTCAGGGACCATTTTGGAAGAGGGGGCTGAACGATTGTAAGAGTCAGGGAGGAGGTGCAGGGCCATATGGAAACAGTCCTATAGGCACCTGAGACCCTTCTCATATGAACCTACAGCAATGGTGTCAGCATGCACAAGACATGCAAGCTTAAGCAGAACTGTGGAGATGAACAGCAGGCCCCAATTTGGTCTCTTATCTCACCTGCCTCTATTTCCAGTGTGCTGGGACTAAGGGCTTGGGCCACCAAGGGCTAAAATCAGAATTTAATTTTCAGAATCCAGATAGGTAGGAACACTTTACAGAGGTGTGTTAATACTGGTTGGCAGGTTTCTATCTGCAAGACAAGGAAAGTTGCTTCTGGGAGAACTGACTTGGAGGCTCCCCTCCCTCCTCCCCCACGTGGCTATGGAGGGTCAGAGCTGTCCATCTAGGAAGGTTTAAAACAGCAATCAAGCAAGCCCACTTCCATACTAGGGGAGAGCCAGCAGTGTGTGTGTGTGTGTGTGTGTGTGTATGTGTGTATGTGTGTGTGTGTGTGTGTGTGTGTTTAGGCATGGTAGAATATTTGCTAATGCCCAAAGCAAAATGCAAAGAAATGACACCAAAGTTAGCAAGTAGGCCTGTGCCTGAAAGATTCCCAGATCTAGGAAGGGAGTGCCATGTGTCTGAAAATCGTATCACTTCTGGTATGACTCTGTTTCTCCTTTGGAGTGTATAACATTCCAAAATCCCAACCCATGGTATGTTGCTGCCCACAGAGGTTAGGTCTTACCTTAGTTAACCTAAAAAAGATAATCCCTCACAGGCATGCCCAGAGGCCTGTTTCCCAGGTGATTCTAGATTTCATCAAGTTGATGATTAAGATTAACCATCTCAACTCTCATTTATGAAGCTCCCTCATGCAACAGAGGGCCATGAACACAAAAGGGCACAAATGGCCAAAGCATAGAGAATAGGAGTCTGCAGAGTGTGGGTCTTTGGACAGGACTCCTATATTAAACTTCACCCACCCAGGGCTCAGGGACCATTGTGGAAGAAGGGGTGGGAAGATTGTAAGAGTCAGGGAGGAGGTGCATGACCATATGGAAACAGAGTCTTACAGGATCCTGGGACCCTGCTCATATGAACCTACAGCAATGGTGTCAGCATGCACCAAACAAACCCAAGCATATAAAACCCCATCATAGAACTGTGGAGATGAACAGCAGGCCCCAATCTTAGTTGAAGAATTATTGGCAGCTGATTACTTTTGGATGCGGAAGAGCTGATCTTCTTAAAGGGAGGGACTCTAAATAGGCTGACTAAATCCCAGTGGATGAACTTGCACTGAGGGATATCTGGGGACACAAACATGATAGGCTTTAACATAAATGACAATGTAGGAACTCCAGTAGTGGTCTATGGGAGGGTGCCAAAGGGGAAGGTGGTATAAAGATGATTTTATATATGAAATACACAAAAATCCAATAAAATTTTAAAAAGAATATTGCAAATATAAAGAGTTATTGATGATTAAAGATTTGTCAATGTAATGGAATGAGAGTTTTGAAAAAGTTGAAGCAAAGCTGTCTCAATTAAATCAAGAAATGTATAAATTTCTATTATACTGTACCATGTACTATTTGATCAGTTTTTTACTGATGAACATTAAATTTGCTCCCAAGTTTTACTTCCAAAAAAAGGTCATGTTCTAGAAAGTAAACATCGAATTAGTGAATACTACACTTCTGTTCTTAGGAGAAATGCAAGGTTAGGTTCCAGTTAACTTCTGAGCACAATATTTTTGTCAAGCCTTCATTATTTTACTTGCATTATGTCTATTTCTGTTTAATTACACTTTACTTAAACCACATTTTTTGACTCACTAACATTAAGCTCAAAAGCAATTAACAGTATAACTTAGGCCTAAACTGAAGTTTTCTAATATAAGTATTTTTCTTTGTAAGATATGCCATAGCTTTCTTGAATTTTAAAACACCAGCCACCTTGCCATTATAATGAATAATGAATAATAATGAAATAATTATTAACAAAATATTTGAAATGATGAAATAATGAAATGAATAATGAAATCACTAAATAAAACATTAAAATATTTTTAAAGGGGAAGGATGTGTTATTAAAAAGACTCAGAAAGTGACATATGTGCTTCAGATGGCAGAAATTTGTTGCTACTCTGTACATCAGTGTAATCAATAATTATAAAAATAAGACGCTGGAGAGGTAGTTCAATGGTCAAGAACACTGGCTATTCTTGCAGAAGACCCGGGTTTGAATCCCAGCACTCACATGGCAGCTAACAACTGTCCATAACTCCAGTTCCAGGGGATCTGACAGCCTCTTCTGTCCTCTGTGGGCATTGCACGACACAGGTACACTTACCTACATGCAGGCAATACACACATATACATAAAAATAAAAATATTTTAAAAAGTGAAAGTGCTGGGGGGCTGGAGAGATGGCTCAGTGGTTAAGAGGTTAAGGCTCTTCAGCTGAAGACCCAGGTTTAAATCCCAGCACCCACAGTGGCTAAATTGCTTTGGTCTTGAATTACTTGGGTAACTGCTTGCCTTGCTTGTGTGAAGATTTATTTTAATGCAGTATTCGGAGACCTTTTTCTTTTGGTTACCTGTAAATGTATCAGATCTGAAGTCTTAAAAAATCTTTCCAGTCTATCTGTGTTAGTGGTTTGATGGGCTGAATATATTAGAGAATACTGATCTTTTTCATCTTTGTTTTTCTTCTAGGAAACAGTTTTCCCATCCCAAGTCACTAATGAGCATGAGTCATTGGTAATGGTGAAGAAACTTTTTGCTACTTCTATCTCATGTATAACATATTTGAGGGGCTTGTTTCCAGAGAGCTCTTATAAAGATCGCCATTTAGATGGTAATGTTCAGTTCAATGATTGCTTTGGCTAGTGCTCCATCTTTCTACTTAGCAGGAATAAGCCTTTCCTCTCATAGAGCGCATTAATTCTAACTTATGGGCATGTTCTTCAAGATCAGTTTTCTAATTCATTTTCTGTTTTAATTTTGCTTTTTTTGTTCTTATTGTTAATTTTGAGACAGGGTCTCCCTGTAGCCCCAGCTGACCTGGAACTCACTATGTAGACCAGGCTGGCCTCCATCTCTCAGAGATCTGCCTACCTCTGCCTCCAGAGTACCACCACACCTAACTCTTAATTTTGCTATTTTTAATGGTTTCACTTTTAGGAACATTAGCGTCTAGCGAAAAATCAAGTGAAGAAGAAACCTGTAGAGATTAAGTCTAGTAGCTCTGGGCTGTCCATGGAAAGCAATAGCCATGACAAAAATCTATTTGAATGCTAAAGATTCACATTGTTTTGTACCTTAGTTGAAGTTGTTATTTGAGGTACATATTCACCCTGAAGAAGTTCAAAGGAATCCATGAGAAACTTCTCCTTAACATATATAAATATTCATGGGGGAAGCAAATTCATTTGTTGATTAGCATGGATATTTATACATCTATTATTCTTTTTAAAAAAATTATGTTTATTTTATGTGTATGAGTGTTTTGCCTGTATGTAAAGGAACCACATGCATGCAATGCCCGTGGAGGCCAGAAGAGGGCATCTGATCCCCTGGAACTGGAGTTCCAGATGATTGTGAGCAACCTTGTGGGTGCAGGAACTGAACTTGCAGCCAGTGCTCTTAACTACCGATCCAGCTCCTACAACTGTTATTCTAATCAGTTCTATATTTTTATTTTAATTAATTAATTAATTAATTAATTAATTAATTTTTGGAGACAGGATCTCACTGTGTAGCTCTGACTGGCCTGGAACTTGATATGTAGACCAGGTTGGCCTTGAATTCACAGAGATCTATCTGCCTCTGTTTCCTGAGTGCTGGGATTAAAGGTGTGCATCCCCGTGCCTGGCTATTTCCTTTTAAAACTTTAATTGTATTATCATTGTGCGTGTGTGGGGAGGGTGTATGAGAGAGAGAGAGACAGACAGACAGACAGACAGACAGAGACAGAGAGAAAGACAGAGAGACAGAGACAGACAGAGATAGAGACAGACAGAGACAGAGAGACAGACAGAGAGAGACAGAGACAGAAACAGACACATGCTATGTGCCTGTGTAGAGGTTCGAGGACAACTTTCAGTCAGTTCTGTTCTTCCACTGTGGTCTTCCCAAGACTGAACTCAGGTTGTCAGGCCCACATAAGTGCTTTTTCCCCCTGAGCCATCTCTCTGGCTCCGTTATACTTGTACTTCTTTTGTCTTTTGTGCCCTTAATCTTATTACTTTAGATTATAAGCTGTATCTACCTCTTCTCCATCCCTTGTATTTAAAAAACTTATACCTGAGGACCTTTAAGTTTTCAAAATCTTATTATCTGTTTAAAAAGGTGGGCTGTGGGACCAGAGATGGCTCGTTGGCTAAGAGCACTGGCTACTCTTACAGAGGACCAGGTTCAGTTCCCAGTACCCACATGTTGGGTAACTAACATCCATCTGTAACTCCAGTTCTAGGGAATCCAGTGCTCTTTTCTGGACTCTGTGGGCATTGTAGCATGTGGTGCACTTACACACATACAGTTAAAGTGTCCATACACATAAAATAAAAATAAAAAATTAAAAGCTGTGTTGTAATGAAAAAAAAAAGTCGGTGAGATGGCTCAGTGGATAAAAGTGCTTGCTACCAAGACTGATGAGCTGAGTTCAGTCCTTGGAATCCACATAGTGGAAGCAGAAAACCAACTCAAGTTGTACTCTGACCTCCACACATGCACTGTAGCATGAATCCCTGTCACTGTAGTCTTCCTCTCAATGTATTGTATTTAAAGTGACACATCACAAAAATTCTCAAAACTCCTGTTAATCTTTTCTTTTTAAAAAAGCCTGTAAATATGCCAATGTAGAGCAATCTTCATATCCCTCAACAGTAGCAGATATGATGTTAATTTTAATATAGGAAAACAATATGAAAAGATGAGAGACTTGGAGCCAGTGAGATGGCTCAGTGTGGGTAAAGGTGCTTGTTGCCAAATCTGATGATCTGTGTTCAATCTCCAGAACCCACATGGTAGAAAGAGAGAACCGACTTTAGCAAATTGCCCTATAACCTTCACACATGCACTGTGGCACACACTTTTTCAAGTTTGCATACACACACACACACACACACACACATAAATACAAAAGAATGTAATGAAAAATTTAAAAAGACAAGAGACTCCTATGAAATCACACATGAATCCATGATTGATTTTATACTGACTTCAACTCAAGCTTGTAATATCCATTTCTTTTTCTTAATATGGAAAATGATTATATTTCACATGGAAACAAATATTTAAGAATAATCCATGCATTTATATTTAGATTTTTTTCATTGAGAAGGAAAGAAATTAAAAAATGAGATTGGGAGTATGTTTTAGATTAGTCAGTTGAGATCATCTCAATATCACCTTAAATTATTTAGCAGTGAAAACAGGCAAAGATATAATACAAACTAATTTTACAACAAACTCTGTTGTGCTACACTGCTAAACTGTCAATAAAATTGGGACTAAGATAATTATCAACTTAGAATTTATTTTAAAAGTAAATATTTAGAAATTGAAAATGTTTTTATAAGATATGAAACAGTAAATTACATAAAAGTAAAGGACATGGCCCATTTGGCACAGACAGTTTCAGTAGGACAGTTGTTTCTATTTTGTAGACCTGAGTTTAAAAATTCTCCGAGAAGACAAAAAATGTCCTGGGTCACTGCATATTATCAAATGGTAAGTAATTTAAATTCCACAAAATTTAAACAACATTTTTTTATCATGGTTGAAATTATCCATAAGATTTTATTTTGTAAGATCCCTTCTTTAAGCCAATTTTCTTTACCTGTTTCTTTTTTCCTAGAAATTGTAGAAAATATTCAGTTTTATAAGTTATTGATTATATTTAGAATAAATGGACTTGTATAAAGAAAAAAAAACCCTAAATTTGATTATTCATCATGTGCATACCCGTGTATTAACATTATGGGAGAAAAAGGAGACTATGCTTTTCTACTTCAAAATTACTTGTATATTATTTATAGAATTCCATAAATGTATTAAAAGATATTGGAAGTTTAAAAAATGTTTAAACAGAAAGGGTAAAATTGTTATCAACTTAATATATTTCAGAACAAAAAACATAAATCAATTCTGTACTTAGAATTTTTGACTGTGCATGTGGTCAAAATTGACATTAGGTATTTATTTCTTGACAGGATTCAAGGTTGTTTTGATGCTTTGGAAAGGAGATACGTAAGAATATTTTGATATTTACACCAGGATTAAAGATTCATCTTTTACCTCTTAAAAAAAAGTTTAGATTTTTATTTTGTTGTGTTTAACAGTGTAGCAGTGCCTACATTTGCATTCACAAGGTTATTTCCTTTTGTTTTATGCCTTTGTTGCCCCACTGATGTCTATCTTACATCAATTAGAAATGAAACCTTCGCGGGGTGTGGCCTTTAGTCCCAGCACTAGGGAGACAGAGAGAAACTTGGCCATGTTCTACACAAATAACACATTCTTTTATAGTAGTGTGATTTGTTGATATGGTCAAAAAGTCCTTATTTATAATACAGTTATATCCTACCGGCAGTATTTGGTTTTTTTTTTAAAGATTTTTTTATTTTATGTGTACAGTGTATTGCCTGCATGTATGTGAGTGCACCCGTGTTGTGCATTGCCGTGGAGGTCAAAAGATGGCTTTGGATCCCTTGGAACTGCAGTTAAGGAAGTTTGTAGCTGCCATGTGGGTGCTGGGAATAGAAACTGGGTCCTCTGAAGATCAGTCAGTGCTCTTAATCGCCGAGCCATCTCTCCAGCCCTGGTACTCTTATCTTTTTAACCATAGAGTTCCCTCTGAAGTTACTGGACAAGATCCACAGGATATGGGATAAGGAAGACAAGAGTTTGGCATTTATTTAGCACATGGAACATGTTCAAAATAGTGGTGATTCGATTTGCAGATATGAAAGGAAAAAAGACTTGAATAATCTATTTTTATCCTATTTTGGCAAATGTAACTCATGTGTGTAACCTGTTCTTTCAAAACAGATAGTATATTTTGAATTTTTTGAAAATGCCTTAAATTTTAAGTGCATATGCTCTCTCATGCTTCTCTGGACAGCTATGAAGACTTTAGTGAAACAACCCACTGCAATACCTTAATTTCTGTATATAAAATGGGGAGGATGGGGTGGAGAGATGGCTCAGAAGTTAAGAAGATCACTGGCTGCTCTTGCAGAGGACCCAGGTTTGGTTTTCAGCACCCATATGGTAGCTAACAACCATCTGTAACTCCAATTCCAGGTGATGTGGCTCTCTTCTGGCCTCTGTAGGCATTGCACAACATGGGTGCAGTTACATACATGCAGGCAGAACACTCATATACATAAAATAAAAAATTTTAAATGGGGATAATAAAAGAATCTACCTCTTAGAGTTATTAAATGAGTTAGGGACTGGCAGTATGGCTTGGCAAATAAAGGCATTTCTGCACAAGCCCGTTGATCTATCAGTCCCTCTTAACCCATGTGAAAGTGGAAGGAGAGAACTGATTCCCCACTTGTCCTCTGATCTCCACATGCACACTGTGGGATGCATATCCTTGATCTCACACCATTAAAAAAAGATTTTGAATGAGTTAATAATAAAAAATAGTGGCTCTCAATTAATTGCTTTGGAAATGTCAAATGACAATACTTTAGATAGATACAGATGTGTCTGACCCATAGTCTATGGGCCGTGAGACCTAGAATAGCTATGAATGTGGCTCAGTGTAAACTTGTGAACTTAAAACATTATAAGACCTTTTTGTGATTTTATTTTTGCAATTCAATTGCATGGTTCTTCAGTGTGAACTTTGTAGATGACATTGTCATTTCACAGTGTTCAAAGGTTAGACATGCCTGACAGACTTAAAAATATTTTTTGAGCCAGGCGTGGTGGCGCACGCCTTTAATCCCAGCACTCAGGAGGCAGAGGCAGGCGGATCTCTGTGAGTTCAAGGCCAGCCTGGTCTACACAGTGAGTTCCAGGACAGCTGGAGCTACAGGGAGACCCTGTCTCAAAAATTATATATTTTTTGATATATTTTTATTTAATGTGTATGAGTGTTTTGCCTGCATATATGTAAATACAACACATGTATGCAATACCCACAGAGGCCAGAAGACGATGTAGGATCTCCTAGAACTGGAGTTACAACAGTTGTTAGTTGCTATGTGGGTGCTGGGAGTCGAACCCACGTCCTCTGCAAGAGCAGCCAGTGCTCTTAACCACTGAACCATCCCTACAACCCCCGGTAGCCTCTTAAATAAATAGTAGTTTCATTGTTTCTGATTTGTTAGCATCTTATAATTTTTCTCATGTGATCTTGTTGCAGTAGGATATAATTTTAAAGTAGTTAAATGGGAAGTTTAGGTAAAGAAATCATGAATTCAAGGCCATCCTGGGCTACAAGACCTGTTTTTTTTAATGTAGTGTAAATAAAGCCAAGTTTGAGTATCTAGAGACCTTGAAAGATGTTCTGTTGAAGCACACATTACTAATTATGAAATTTTGGGAGATTTTTAGTTTACTTTGTACTTTATGCTAAAGTTTGAATTCTTTAAAATGAGCATATATGTCAGGGTATGGTAGTACATGGTTGTGCATGCCTTTAATCCCAGCACTCAGGAGGTAGAGGCAAGTGGATCTCTGTGAGATCCAAAACAAAATAAAATAAGCATGTATATATAAGGTAATTATTATAAGATGAGATATATCTTAATTTATTCCTATTATCATACCTTACAATTCCAACCCATTTTCTATATTAAGTTCTTTCAGAAACTTAAGTCTGATCCTGTTTTTCTTTATGCTTAAAATTTTTTCTGGACTCTGAAAATAAAGTTCGTAGTCTGTCATGTGATCTGAAAGGTCTGAATGATCCCTATAGGCCTTTCCAAGGCATCCCTCTCACTCCTGTGCTGAAGCTACATTAAGATTCTAGAACATACCAAATTCCTTTTGTCTTTCCATATATTGTTCTTTTTGCCTAAAAAATTCTGTCCCATATCCCATACATGTTGCTTGCCCAACTCCAATTTATCACACTTCCACAGTCCAGTTGTCCCTGCTTAGTATTCGCATGGCACCCTGAGCTGTTTCTTCATATCCCAAAACATAACTGTATGATTATAATGATGTAACTATAAATGAGATTTTTTTCTTAGTGTTCATCTCCCTTGCTAGTTGCATGTCTTGAGGTCAGTGGCCACATGTACTCTTCTTGCATGTATCAATGAACTGTTCTATGTGGTTTATAAAACCAGCTATATGCAGTAACCAAAAGAGCCATATGGTGGCACTAAAGTTTCAGTCCTTGGTATTTAATTATGGTTCTCAAATTTTATATTTTATGTTTAAAAATCACCACGTTATGCCTCTGTATTTGAAAATCCTTTAACTCAGCGAGAATGTTTTTATAGTTGTGTATTACGTAGCAAGTCAAGGCTTTTTTTATAAGCTACATCAGACTTTAAAATATTTTAAGCTACTAGATTGGTTTCAAAAGGGGTACTTTTTAGATATTCTCATGGCATATTTAATTTTAAGCAATAATTATTTTGTATATCTTTTGCCTTCTAAATTAAAATATAACTTTTTTGTATCCTTCTGTCCCCCGTAGAGCCCTATGTTTGTAATACACACTGTTTGGATGAGTGAATAATTAATATTACTTTTTCTGACCTTCTGAATATTTTTCCTGCCCAAATATTTGGAACTTCTCCAAAATACTATTTTAACTAGTCTCTACTGAAAGGATCAATAATATAGTTACGAGTATATAATAATGCTGCTTTTCTTTTCTCTTGAAGCTACACATGGCAGTACTTACGGTAAGTACACACTTTTACATTGACTTTTTGTATGTGAAGGATTTAAAAAGTAATTGTCCCCTTTCTCCCTTTTGAGATTTGTGACATTTTAGCATTTGAACACTGGATCTAGGGCTTAAGAGAGTGGCTCAGTGACAGAGTGCTTGCCCAGCATACACAAGGCCCTGAGCTCAGTTCCCAGCACCACAAAAATTTAAAAAATAGGATCTGCTGGGTGTGGTGGTGCACGCCTTTAATCCCAACACTTGGGAGGCAGAGGCAGGTGGATCGCTAGGGCTCCTGGGGGACCCTTTTCAAAAAAAAAAAAAAAAAAAAAAAAAAAAAAAAAAAGGAAAAAAAAAGAAAAGGATCTACTGCTTTTTACTTTACTTTATGTGTATCAGTGTCTTGCCTGCATGCATGCAAGAGGTGCCCATGGAAGACAGAAGAGGGTGTTGGCCCCCCTGGAACTGGAGTTATAGATAGTTGTAAGCAACTATGTGGGAGCTGGGAACCAAGCCAGGTCCTCTGCAAGAACAGCAAGTGCTCTTAACCGCTGAGCCATCTCTTCAGCCCTCTATCAGAAGTTTTAATAAAATGTAATAAACTTTTAGTACACTTCTTTGGCATTTTATAAAGTATGGGAAAATATACCATTTGCTTAGAGGATTTCACTATTTTGTTTTTTTAGTTAACAGAGTCAGAGGCTTTTGTTTTTAAAGTTTTATATGCCCATGGGTATAAAATGGTTAAGAATAGAAAGAAAATTGAGATAACTGATAATATTATGCATATGGTTTATTTAATATTTTTTATTGTCATGTCCTTTTTTGAAAAACTTATTTTCATTTTATGTGTATGTATGTTTTGCCTGCATGTATGTAAATGTACGATGTGTGTGCCTTGTGCCTGCAGAGACCAGAAGAGATCCTTGAATATCCTGGAACTGGAGTTAAGGACAGGTGTTAGCTGCCATGTGGGTGCTGGGTCCTCTGCAAGAGCAGCCAATGCTCTTAACCACTGAGCCATTCCTTTAACCCTGTTTAAATTTTTTTTTTAATTTTAGTTTTTTGAAACAGCCTTTCTCTGAAGCCCCAGCTGGCCTGGAACTCACTATGTAGACAAGGCTGTCCTTGAACTCACAGAGATCCGCCTGCTTCTGCCTCCCAAGTGCTAAGACTACAGGGGTGCGCCACCATACCCGGCTCCCTAGTTAAATATTTTTAAACCATAGAAAATTAAGAGTTTATTTGTAGCATAGTCACAATAATTTTTAAAACTTTACATCTGTTATAAGGAATTTCTTAATATTAAATGTTCACAGGAAATTCTAAAATCTCTGTTCACAAAATAAGAGCTCATTCTATCTCTAGTTGCGAGATATTCAGTTAACAGACCACAAATTGAACTCTTTACATAGACAGTGTATTTGGTGAATAGTAATCTAGTAAGTTTTGGAAATTAAATGCTGTTTATTTTTCTTTAAATAGCTTTACACAAATCCCAAGGAACCTGAGGTAAGAAGACACACATATAGATGGTAGTATATATGTATTATTTTTAAGTGTGTTTATGTGAATTTAGGTTGCAGATTATGTTACTAGACTGCCATTTGAACAGAATAACTTATAGTGAATGTTCAATATATTTTATTATAAATGGGACCAATATTTTATTAAGAGATTTTTCAGAAACAAGGGTATTAGGAAAAAGAAAAAAAGCATTGAGTAGAACTGAGCATATTCTGTAACATGTTGATGTTAAGATTCTCCTAATCATAAATACATAAAAGCCACATTTTATTATTTATTTTAACTGATTTTGAATTCTTTCTTTTTATGGTCTTTTGGAAAAATAAAAGACATAGCATTATTCTAAATTCTTTTGCCAATGACATTCTCCCATTACTGATCTTTTCACAAAGTTTCAGAATATTTCTTCTTTACTTCTCACTCTAGATTTCTTTCCTTTACTTAATGAATCCTGCTTGCCCTCCAGGCCAGCTTATAGTCAAATCTGTTATAAAAGCCTCTTTGACTTGTTGTCTAGATTAACTTCTTCCTTTTCTAAATTTCTTTTTCAGAAGAACCCCAAAGTTTAATGCTCTCAATTGATTCATATTTTCCCAAGATTAGGAATTTTTGAGGATAAGGATATTGTTTTCTGCCTCCTAGAGGGAATATTATAGTCTCAGAACATAATAGTTACTGTGCCACTTTGAATGGCTTCTGTGCCTGTGACAGAGTTGGAGTGAGAAACTCTGTTTTCTTTGTTCCCCTCCTAGCTTGCTTTCCTTTCTCCTTGCTTTGAATTTTTCTCAGTTAGTGGATTTAGTCTAACTGGTGATATTCAAGACTAAATTAAGTGTTTTTAAGCCCTTAATATCTTCTCTTTGCAAGATTACAAATACCATATAAGAAAGAAGAAAAATTGTTGCACACAGGTGTGTAGCAATTCCTCAGTGTCCAAACTGGTCTCTATTTTTTTTTAAATTACTATGTAGCAGAGGATAACCTTGAACTTCTAATCTTGCTCTACCACATGCTAGAGATTGTTTATATGAGAATGTTGAGATTACAGATGTGTGCCACCATGCCTGATTCACGTCATCCTGGGGATTGAATCCAGGGCTTGTGCGTGCTAGGCAAGCATTCTGCCAACTAAACTACACCCCCAGCCCTATCTTTGCCTTTCAAAATGTTTTTTTGGGGGGCGTCTTTTTGAGACAGGGTCTCCCTGTAACCCCAGCTGGTCTGGAACTTGCTATGTAGACCAGGCTGGCCTTGAACTCAGAGATTTACCTGCCTCTGCCTCTCAAGTGCTAGGACTAAAGGCTTGCACCACCATGCCTGGCTCAAAATGTTTCTTAAAAATAGATTCGAGGGGGCTGGAGGGATGGTTCACTGTTCTTGCAGAAGATCTAGGTTCGAATCCCAGCACCCACATGGCAGCTAACAATTGTCCATAACTCCAGTCCCAGGGGATCCGACAGCCTCTTCTGACCTCCGCAGACATTGCATGACTACCCAGATGCGCTTACCTACATGCAGGCAATACATGCATACACATAAAATAAAAATAATAAATAAAAAATTTAAAAATAGATTCGAAGCACCTTGATTTCCCCCAGCCTCATTCACCCTTCCAGCTCCCCCACTCCATCTCTCCTCGTAGGTGGGCACTGGCCCATTTCTTGTCTTGGCATCCCAGACCTCTGGACTGACCTCTTGGCCCAGACTTCCCACTGCTTCTTGATCCTTTGCATCCAAACCAACCCAATTCCTCCCTGTAATCCCCGGGAGCCCTCTGGGCCTCTTCCCAACCCCACCTCCCTTTGCATCCCTGGGTGGCACAGCCACCAGCTTCCTGGGGCCAGCATCTTTTCTGGGGTTTATACTGAGTACAATATTGTATAACCGTATTAATTCAGTTGTGAACCTAAACATTTACAGCCAATTTTGAAAGAGATGCACCTTTGCTCTATAAATTGTTGTTGAATATGTCAATGCTGTTGTAACCAAACACTTCTTCTAATCATGTAGTTATTAAATAAATAATTAAAAAAATAGATTTGAGAAGTTTCCCAAACCAAAACTTTCTGATAAATTGTTAATAGATTGTTTTGTTCCTTAGTCCAGTGCTTATTGTATTTTCTTATGTGTGTACAAGTCCTAGTTTGAAATCAGTGGTTTTAGAGCCAGGTGTGGTGGTATAAGCCTTTAATCCCAGCACTTGGGAGGCAGAGGCAGGCAGATCTCTGTGAGTTTGAGGCCAGCCTGGTCTACATAGGGAGTTCCAGGCCTGCTGGGGCTACAGAGAGACCCTGTCTCAAAAAGACAAAAAAAAAAATCAGCAGTTTTGGTGGTAGTGAAATCAGGCTTACCTCCAGAAAAATATGACAGAATGAGAATAAAACTGTTAAATGAGTTTTGATGCTAGCATATGTAATAATGAGGTTAGAAGACAAGAGCTTATTATATGATAAGTTCCAAGTTATCATTTATCTTTCTTTCCTTTTCCTCTCTTCCTCCTTCCCTTCATTCCTTTCTTTCGTTTTTTTGAGACAGGGTCTTACTCTGTTGCCCTGGCTGGCCTGGAACTTGCTATGCAGACACCAGGCTGGTCTCAAACTCACAAAGATTCGTCTGTCTCTGCCTCCTGAGTGTTGCAATTAAAGACATGCACCACCACACTTGGCCCCAGGCTATCATTTTCGACACAGAAAAATATTTTGAACACTTACTGATTATGCTCTATAGTAGTGATCCCTAACTCCTAGGTGTTCATTGCACACTTCTGATTGCAAAAATAAAGGTAGCATATTTGAAACTATTAAAAACTCAAAGTCAGCAGTGATTTTGTATCACTATGGTAGTTATAATAGTTCTACAATGCTCATTAAAAGCATCCACAATATTCTACTGTTTTATGGCTGCTGCTTAACATCATCACTGATGCAACTGTTTTAACTCCCTGATCTCTTATATACTCAGAAAACAACATCCTCATATAAATACAGTCTCTGGCATGTATCTGATACTGTGCCAAAGGCTTGAGTCATATCATTTGCAGGATATCCTTCCCAAAATAAAATTGTATAAACAATAACAATGTTAATATTTACTTGGAACAAAAATACACTACACATGGGTTAAAGTTTACAGCACTCCTGTGAAGAGTATATCATAGTACAACAGTTGAAAACTCGGCATTAGATCAAAGTATGTTTCCCTAGTTCAGATGCTAACAGAATTAGGAGCAGAGTAAAAACTTGTGGCACATTTGCACATCAAGATTTGTTCTGGTTGCTCCATCTCTTGAAAAAGATGAACTGAGGAGGCTGGAGAGATGGCTCAGTGGTTAAGAGCACTGACTGCCCTTGCAGAGGACTTGGGTTCGATTCCCAGAACCCACATGGCGGCTACGAACTGTCCTTAACTGCAGTTCCAGGGGAATCCAAAGCCCTCTTCTGACCTCTGCAACATTGCACAACACGAGTGCACTCACGTACATGCAGGCAATATGCTCATACACATAAAATAAAAATAAAAAAATATTAAGAAAAAGAAAAAAGAAAAAGATGAACTGATAAAAGCAGCTAAAGTAAATAAAAAGTCACAGTGAGCTTTCTACAAGTACATGTCTTGAAATGTGGGTGAATATTAGTAAGACATATAAACCAAGTAAGTCTTGATTTGTGATAGACCATAAGGAATTATCATTTATGAATTTTATGAGAATACAAATCTTATTGTCTCACTGTTTCTTCCTTCGTGCCTGTTGGAGGTGATCAACATCCAATTTTATTTCCCTGTTTCAGGAACTGAACTATAGATGATTCCTGTTTCTACCCACAATATGTGTTTACAGAATGTTTTCTTTTAGCGTTTCTTTATAGGGACCAGTTGTGGTCACATATGTAAAAAATCCCAGTACTTAGGAGGCTGAGACAGGAGGATCATGACTTTCAGCCCAGTTAGGCAGCATAGCAAGACACTTTTTCAAGAATAAAAATAAGATGAAATTCTAGCTGAGCATGAATTCTAATTGGGTTCTTTTTATGTGCCTAGCTCTGTTCACAGGAGTAAATGGGACAGACCACTTCTCTGACCTCTAGAAGCTTACATTCTGATGAGGAAGGATAACAATGAGTAAATGCAAATGAGAAAATGTAATTTCAGGTAGTCATAATCTGTGAAGAAATTTGAAAAGATGTTGTCCTGACAGTGATGGGGTAAAAAATGGAGACGGAGGTGTTGGATGGCTGTTTTAGATTTGACAGGCCATAAACAGCCTCCCTGCTGAGCCACTATTTGAGTTGAAACTGAATAATTAGGAGTCAGCCTTTGTAGATCTGTGAAAAGCACCAGCATATGATAGGCAGAATTACATACAGGTGCTGGAATCAGATCTTAGCTCTACTGCTTACTAGTTTCTTCAGTAATGGGAATAACATCTACTTCAGGGTGTTGGCTACACAAGAATGAATGATGTAAAGCATTTAGGGCAGTTTCCAAGTATTAATATCATCAACTAGAAATAGCATGATATAGAATATACCTATTCACAGACCCTAAGACAGGAAAGAATCTTGGATGCTTATACACAGGAAAGATACTCCGAATCTGGCTCTTAGTGAATGAAAAGAAAAGTGACAGGAGAGGTTAGCAAAGGACAGATGAGGGAGGTGGTGTGAAGTTTATTCTAAGGACAGTGGGAAGCTGGTGGGAGAGAGGAGTTTAAGCAAAGGAATGACGTGGTCTGATTTGTACTTGAAAATTTATTTTTATTGTAGTACTAAGGATTGAACTCAGGGCTTTGCCTAGTCTCCTCTCCAGCCTACCCCCTCCCTTTTTTTTTTTTTGCATTATTTTGAGATAGGTATCTCAGTAAGTGTTCAGGTTGGCTTTAAATTTGTGATCTTCCTGCTTCGGCCTCTTGAGTAGCTGAGAATACAAGCATTTATAATCTGCATCTAGCCTGATTTGTGTTTTCAAAAACTCTTTTCGGCTAGAGAACAGAGAATGAAGATCATGGACTTGTGATTCATTTTGGAGACAGAACTGAAAAGTCTTGGCATTGCATGGGAATGTCAAGTGAGAAGGAAAGACTGAACATGTTTCTTTGGTTTATGTGAATATGTTCAGTGTAGTTGATAGAAACTATTGATAGGCAATATATTTATTATTTGCTTGTAAAGATTTGTTATTTTTTATTCATATGTATATTATGTGTGTATTCCATATGTGTTGGATGCCCATGGAGGGCAGAAGAGGGCATTGGATTCCCTGGAGCAGGAGTTATAGGCATATAAGCAGTGAGTTGCCCAACATGGATGCTAGGAACTGAACTCAGGTCTTCTGGAAGAGCCAGTAAATGCTCTTAACCATTGAACCTTCTCTCTAATCCCATTGAAGTGCAGTTTAAGATTCATCTTTGCTAACAACTCAGCCTGCAAAGCAAAAAGATATTAATGCCTTCTATACATATGCTTTCCTTGTTAAATCAGAGTCAGTTTGAAGTTAATAAGGAGTAGCATATTTTTTAAAAATATTTTATTATTTTTATTTTATATGTATGAGTGTATTGCCTACATGTAGGTAAGTGCACCCGTGTCGTGCAATGCCCGCGGAGGACAGAAGAGGCCATTGGATCCCCTGCAACTGGAGTTACGGACAGTTGTTAGCTGCCATGTGGGTACTGGGATTCGAACCTGGGTCTTCTGCAAGAACAACCAGTGTTCTTAACCACTGAGCCCTCCAGCCCCAGGAGTAGCATCTTTTGTAAAATGATAATAAATATGTCTTTTATTTTATTTAGGAATCAATAAAAATTACCTACTAAAAGATTTCTTTTATTCACAAAAATACATGCTTATAGTATTAAGAGGCTAGACCTGACTGAGAAACATGGGCAGGCAAAAAGAATAGGCATTGTTTTCTTTACAGGACAATTAAACTTAGCATTGGCTAAGAGAGGACACTGTGTATCTAGCCCATCTGGAGTGAACCTGTTGCTGTTAGGCACCTGCAGTCACCTTTGATCTCACCCACCTCCTCTATTGTATTCACAAAGCCTCATTCTGAACTTGGTTTGATTTTTCAAGTAGGCTGACCAGTTATAAAAGCAATTCTCTTTTGAATTAACTCATTACAATCAGTCTCCTTAGTTTTGCAGTATGAGCCAATTTCCTAGGACCTGATCCCCTGTGATTAAGTCACATGCAAAGGTATAAGATCAGCAGAGCTAGGAGCCTAAATCTTAAAGAAAAATAACAAAAACATTAAAACTATTTCTGATTGATCTAGCATCCTCATTTCCACATTGTCAAAGATTAATACTGAGTCAGGTGAATGAAGGGCATAGTTTGTGTTCTGATTTCAACTCATACTCTGTCTTCCTTTAGCTCTATGGACAAAATGCACAACTTATCTGGGTGAAACATTTGTTTTAACCACAACTTTTTTGTGTGTGAAGTAAGGGTGTGTGTGTGTGTGTGTGTGTGTGTGTGTGTGTGTGTGTGCGCTCGTGCGCGGGCACGCAGGCATACATGCCACAGCATGGGTCCAAGGACAACTCTCAGGAGACAGTTCTTTTCTTCCACAGTGGGTTCCTGGGATTGAACATGGATTGTGAGGCTTGCATGCAAGGCAAGCTTACCCTCTGAGTTATCTCACCAGCCTGAATAGAACTATTTTATTTTCAATGGAATGTTTCTCATGAGGAAATTAGTTCTTTATTTCTAGCTTCCTTACCAGTAAGGAGAGCAGACAGCAGTGTATCTAGTTTGTAGTGCAGAATTGAAAAAATGAGACTTGATGCCTTAGATCCTAGTTCCTTTTCAAAATTTTCTAATTTTTGTTGCCATTCAAATCTTCCATAAATTACCACAATGACTTTCTAGCTGTTCTCATGGTCTATATTCTTAATGTAGCCAGAGAGAGAACTTTATGTAAATTACTGACCTGCTTAAGCCTTCAGTTGACTTTGATGTACTTAGAATAAAATTCATACTCACTATGACTAACAAAGTTCGACAACCTCCTTTACATACAATCTCATCTACATTTTCCCTGTTGCACACTCATCTTTGGCCACTTGGCCTCTGCCTATGTTCTGGAAAACGCATCCCTTCCCAGTTCAGAGTCTTTGTGTTACTGTTCTCTCTGCCTGAGGCGCTACCCCACTGGGCTGCACATGACTGATCACTGTTTAGGCTCATCTCAAAATATCACATCTTCAGAGACGCCTTCCTTGGTTCCTCTAAATCTAATTAGTACCTTTCAGCTTTATGTACTTTCTATGAAAGCATCTTTATATTATTTGTGGCACTTCTTCTGAGATTATCTTATTTTCTTAGTTACTGTCTCATCTCTATTACCAGACTGTAGATTCTAAAAAAGAAGACTCTTTTCTACCTTGTTCACCACTATGAACTCCCATTCCTGATCCAAAATAGACATTAGACATTTGCTACATGCATTAACAGTTTCTCAGCTGGTAATATTTAATGGAAGTATTTGCCATCTAAATCATTTTAGGATAGAGGAGAGAAATTAAGTTATCATTAAACCTGGAACTACTGCTACTCCTGGATAATGTAATGTGAGACAGGTATGTGGGGATATAGGAAGTATGGAGGGTACTCAATGCAAATAGTACTTTCTGATGAGATAAAATTTGGATTTATTTTAAAATTAATCTTTTTCTATTCCCTTTGGTTTTTCTAGAAAGTGACAGAGATATATCAGTTCAAATTCAAATATACAAAAGAAGGAACCAGTATGGATTTTGACAGGTAGAATTTATTCATTTAATGACCATGAGAAATATGTAGGAGTGATGTAAAAATATAAACTTCTATATGGCCAGAGAAAAGTCTTAGATTTCTCTTTGTCATTTCTCCATAAACCCTATAAAAATCACACTATTACAAAAGGAGACTGTAGTAATTGAATATCTAAAACCATAGATTTAAGCTCATAGAAATAAAGGCAATGGTTGATGTCATGGCACTTAAATTTTTATTAATAAGGCTGTCTATGTGACATCAGTTAAAGAGCCCATCTGACTTAACTATTAATCCATTGGCTCTGTTGATATTGCCAAGATGTTGATCCTCACCACCTTCAACACAGGCAGTCTGAGCCTAAGGTAAATAAAACCCCTGAACTATTTGCCTACACACAGACAGTCTCATTTGTTTGTCCTATGATGCCTTATACCTTTCCTATGTGTGTCACTGTGTGGAAAAGCCTCATTATATTTTCCTATCAAGTCCAAAACTCTGTATTGTAGATATAATAATGGGTTAAAGAGCAAAACTCTTACGTGCTTCAAAAGGAAACATATGGAGTGCATATGGAGATATTTTGTTAAGGAGCAACATTTTTCCCTCAGCAGCTTTTGACATCATATCAGCCAAGAAGTATAGAAAGCTAAGGATTGGTGATGAAATGGAATAGAAGTAGACTGAAATGGATAAGGTTAAAAAAAAAAAGCCTTGATTAATAAAGGACTCCAAGTCGGGGAGATAGATACCTTTGAAGGGAAAAACTCTGGAGAGAAATTTGGCAAAATGCTCATTTTTCCCTACTATTATCTCTGGAGAACTTGAGAATTTATCTCCAATACTCACTGCCTTAATCATGTTCTCCTATGTAAGACTTACAGAGGACTTTAATATATAAAGAGAAAAATCAGTTCCAGGAAATAAGAGTTAGAATATTATTCATAAAAGTGTTAAAATATTACTATAGTTTTAAAATATATAGCATTTAACAGCTTATACGGCACTTTAAGAACTTTTATTTATTATTTTTATTTTATGAGTATATTGCCTGTATGTAAGTGCACCCATGCACGGAGGTCAGAAGAGGGCATCAAATTGGAGTTAAGGATAGTTGTTATGGTTGTTAGACTCCATGTGGGTGCTGGGAATCGAAACCTGGTCCTCTACAAGAGCAGCTAGTGCTCTTCTTAAGCACTGAGCCCCTTTTTTTTTTTTTTTTTTTTTCCTGAGACAGGGTCTCATATAGCTCAGGCTGAAACTAATTGTATGTTGGAGGCTGGCTTTGAACTCCTGATCCTCCTGCCTATACCTTCTTAGTACTGGGGTCACAGGCATGCACTACCGTGCCCAGCTGTATATGGCACATTCATACTTTTTTTTTTCACATAAACTATTGCCTTTACTCTCCAAAACTCAAATATAAGTGTTACAGATAACCAGATTAATCTTTTTTGTTTTAGAGAGACACATATGCCAAAAGGGAAGTAAATAAGACAAATAGCCAAGTATTTCAGATACTAAGGAGGTGAGAAGGTGATACATATTAAAAGTTCCTAGAAATATTGTTTAAATGAGATCTTGAATATAATTTTTGATATTTCATTGGGGAATCCCATGAGGTTCATTCTGGCTGCTTGTGTTTAAATTGGTCAAATTCTGGTAGACAAATAAGTTGTTGGAAACTGACAGAGGAGCTAAAATGTCCACTTAATAAATGTTTGCTTTCTGATTTTGCACTACCTCAAAAATCAATTATGCAAAACTCTAACAGTTTAATTACTTAGGATTATTTTTCAGTACTGAGTGCTTCGAATGTGCAAGACACTGTGAAAATATATTGTGGTCATAGCTCTTTCTGAAGGTACTCACATGTGAGACTAATAGGGGAAGAAGACTGGAGAGAAATTTTAAAAATTGAATTAGAAGATAATTAGTCCAACTCATCCACTTATTATTAATTCAGCAAATGTTTATTGGGACACCAAACTTGGTGCTATGGAGATGAAAGAATTAGCCACTCATACTCTGTAAGTCTATATGGGAACAAATAATTCTTCTGAGGGAGAAGGTACAGAGATTATAGGGACGACTTTGCTGAAGAGATGGCACATGAGCTAGGCAAGCACTATGGAGTCAGGAAAAGAAAGGGAAAGCACAGTACAAATGAAATGGACAGCATTTGCAAATGCATGTGGTTGAAAAGAAATTGGGTAGTTAGCTGTAGATGATGGTGGAGGTGAAGGTGTGGTTGTGCATACACCATTCCTTGTATTTGATTGAAAGGTGATAGATGAAACAGAATGTTTTTTTTGTCTTTTTGAGACAGGGTCTCTCTGTAGCCCTAGCTGTTCTGAAACTCACTATGTAGACCAGGCTGGCCTTGAACTCACAGAGATCCTCCTGCTTCTGCCTCCCGAGTATGAAATAGAAAATTTTTAAGGAAGAAAATAGCATGAAAGTCTTTACTTTTCTATTAGGAATATTGTTTTGACAGTAATATGGAGAATGTTTTGTGATGTAGACAAAGCAAGAGGAAGAAATAGACATTGTGGTAATCCATACAAGAATGAAGAGACAGCCAGATAGTAGATAAGCCTAGAGCTAATGACTGATTTTATGGGTGGAGAGCTGAAGAAATGTCTGTAAACTTATCTCACAAATGAACTAACTGACCTAGAATGTGTGTAAATGACTTGACCGAGGTCATTCAACTAGTTAACAGTACAACTGATATTAAATTCCAGGTCACCTAATTCCAAATCCATTGTTCTCATTATTATGATATATGGTTATTTGAAGGCCAAAGAAAGATCATACTAAAAGTGCTTTAAGAGAGTTTGTTATTCAGAAATCCTTTGCATTTACATTGCAAAAAGTTCTATCACTCTCTTAAGTTACCTCTTAAAAATTGTCTATTAAATGTCCCGATGTTTAATTTATATTTATTTGATGATATAGTCAAAAGTTTTATTGTTTTTGAGTATATTATGAATATTGTATATGATTGAAAAGTATGCCATTTTTCTCTGACTATAGCAGTAATACAAGCTTTGAAAGTGGGACAAAGAGTGAAGATACTAAGAAAGCCTGTACCCTACTGATCCGTCAGTTGTATTTACTTATGCAGAACCTTGGTCCCCTTCCTAATGATGTTATACTTACTATGAAACTCCATTATTATAACTCAGGTAGGTAGAGAGACCTTTGGTCAAATTTCTCCTTAGTGCTCAAGCAATACTGTATTTAAGTAAGATTTTTTTAAGCATCTGAAAGATGTCTGTTCCTATATATGAATTATTAATTTCACTTATTTTATTGAAACTTAATTTCTGTGGCTTTTTGTCCTTTCTGCAGTGACCCCAAATGATTATCAGCCCCCTGGTTTTAAAGAAGAGGTGAACTCACACTTTCTACTGTTTGAGGGAGAGCCTGTCAGCCTTCAAATGGGATCAGTCTCCTCTGGCTTTCACAGAATGAAATTAAAAGTCACAACTGAGGTCACCAGAGTGCCCGATTCAGAGAGCAGTCTCTCTCAGGAGAACAGCACTACTGAGATCGCCCATCAGGGTCTAGACTATGATGAGGAAGAAGAGGAATGCAACTATCAAGTAAGGCCAAGTTTTAGTGATCCTCCATTGCTTCAGTTAAACACAGTTGACATATTTCAGTTTGTTTTCAGGTCATGTCACAGTAACAGAATCCAATGGAGCATGTGAGGTATAAAAATTGAAACAGAACTAGCCTCTGACGTCAAGGAGATTTTAGTCAAAAAGTACAGTCTTCAAAAAGGAACTATATGTTAGATGAAATTGTCCAGAACCAAGAGAAAAAATTTTCTTATGTATTTATTTTCTATTAAAAGTACATATATGTTTAGTTAAGTTGTGGAATTCTTTCATTTATAAATAACATATTTTAGAACTTAAAATATTCTAAGTATCTAAGATGTTCATATTCAATAGAAGTATAGATTAGCTCTTGATTACCAGAGTAACTAGGTAGGAGAGTATTAGGGAAGAAAAAAAAATTCTTTTGACCCATGGTCTTCTATAGCTCCAGCAGACCTGGAACTCATTATGTAGACCAGGCTGGCCTCAATCTCAGAGAGATCTGCCTGCTTCTGCGGGAATTAAAGGTGTGCATCACAATGCTCAGTGGCAAGAAAAGTTTTGTGGACTGAGTAGAGTTACAGCAAAAACAAAATGATACTATCTTTCAAGTGGAGAGAGACTAACTTTGAGGTTTGATCACTGGGGAGAGCTGTGGAGTTGGTGGTGTCAAATCAAAGCCAGTGGGGGTGATAGGTATTGCTCAGAGTCTTTATTTAAAGCTTATTTCTACAGAGACTTAGAGCTGGGGACTTGTTAAGGCCCTGTTTTGTCCTAGTCACATCCATACCATTACTTTGGCAGATGTCTGGATAAAAAATTTACTATATACTGACACTATATTCAAAGGGTTCTGTTTAGTGGGAAGGGTTACTATAAAAAAATTTTAGGAACTGGGCATGGTGGCACATGCCTTTAATCACAGTACTCAGGAGGAAAGGATAGGCAGATCTCTGAGTTCAAGGCCAGCCTGGTCTACATAGTGAGTTCCAGGCCAGCTGGGCCTAGAGAGATGGCTCAGCAGTTAAGAGCACTTGCTGCTCTTGCAGAGGACCCGAGTTTTGTTCCTGTACCCATGTTGGGCAACTTAGACCACTTCTAACTCCAGCTCTAGGAGATTCAATGCCCTCTTCTGTCTTTCTTGGGCACCCGCACTCATGTGCACATACTCTCACACAGACACATACATATACACATAAGTAAAAATAAAATCTTTTTCCCAGGCATGGTGGCATATGCCTTTAATCCCAGCACTCAGGAGGCAAAGGCAGGCGGATCTTTGTGAGTGCAGCTTGGGATGGTCTACATAGTGAGATGCTGTATAAATAAAATAAAAAT